GACTTTTTATTGTCCTTGATGCTCAAAGCTAGTTGGAGTTCAGTTGCAGCCTTGGCTTTCCTGGTTTGCTCCCTGCAGGACTGGACCGGTGCAGAATAATCCTCCTTGGAGGTGAATCCCATCCTCCATCCTTTGTAGGCCTTTCTTTTTAGCCTCAGGAGGTCTGTTAGATCCCTGGAGAGCCAGGGGGGTTGCTGTACCCTCTTGCTGGCTTTTCTCCGAGATGGAATAGAATTAGCTTGTGCATTGAGGATCGCTCCCTTGAGGAGCAACCACTCTTCTTACACTCCCCTCTCCCTGGGGTCGTGGTCCCTTAGGGCCTCACTGACAAGCCTCCTGAGCTTGTCAAAGTCAGCTTTCCTGAAGTCAAGGACTTCCGTGTTGCTGACTGACTTGCCAGCTTTATGGCAGATGTTGCATAAAAAGTACTTTCTCTTGCTAATTTTAAACCTGTCACCTACTAATTTCAGCATGTTCCCCCTAGTTCTAGTATTCTGGGACTTAGTGAACAAGTTACCTGTTCATTCACTTCACCCTCTTCATGACTGTATAGATCTCTATTATATCCCCCCTCAGCCTTCTCCTCTGCACACTGAAGAGTCCAAGCCTTTTTTAGTCTCTCTTGGTATGACAACTACTCCATGCGCCTGATCATTTTGGCTGCCTTTCTCTATACTTCTTCTAGTTCTAATACATCGTTTTTGAGATGTGAGGACCAGAACTCCAAGGTGTCTTTCCTGAGTTGTAACAGCTAGTTCAGAGCCCAGCACTGTATACATAAGTTATTTTTCCCAACATAAATTACCTAGCACTTTTTAACATTGAAGTTCATCTGCCATTTTTTTGCCCGCTCACTTAACCTAGAAAGCTTTCTGTAGTTTGCTGTGTGGGGGCCAGCAGCTGGGTAGCTAGGAAGAAAGCTAGCTGTTAGAGATAGCTGCCAGAAAGCAGGCAGCTCAGTAACAGCAGGGTAGGACACACTGTCCTTGGGCTAGCTGCGAAGTAAGCTAAGCAGGGAGCAGACATCTGGGCAGCCCAAAAGTATAGAGCTACAAGCAGCTGAGCTAGACTGCCAAGAAGGGAGGAAGGCAGGCTGGCCATCAGGCCTAAATGGAAACCCCTCTGGGTGGCTGGAGGGAGGAGTACATCCGTCACTGAACTCAACAGACTCACTGAGGATCAGGACTGCTTCTTGATCATGTGCCATGTACTAGATTTGGGGCTGATCTAACTTACACACAGTATACAGTTCCTTATGGACAGTTTTAGACTGCTAGAGCTGTTCAAGGTAAAAAATAAGGCTTCTTCGTTTTTATTTATTTATATATATACATAAATCCTCGTGTGTGGATTCCTGTATGTATATATGCATGTAAGATCCTTAATATAAAATGAAACAAGTGTGTTTGGAGAATACAATTCCATACCATTACAAGCAGTATTAGTAACATAATGAGATAAGTGAAAGACTAAATTAACGTATATGTTACCAATTTAATAAAGAAACTATTTGCAGAACTCATTAATTTTTGTAACACAATACGATTCAACTGGACTTTAAAAAAAACAAACAGAACCACAAAATATATAGAGATTACCTGAAACATGGGATAAGTAAGGAACGTTTCCAGCATTCTTCCTTCACATGCTGGGTTAGCTTCATATTGCTTCAAGAGTTTGTCAAAATCTCTGTTTTGCTTACAGTTTGCTAGTACTTGTAGACTGTACTGATGATTCCGAACAAATTCTTGATAAATGTTCAGCATTGGCAGCAGAATATCAAATAAATCAGCTAGAAAGAATCAAGAAAATTATTTTCTAAGTATTCCTCCCTTGACAAATTCACTGGACATTCCATGTATTCCAAAATATAAACAGTGATAGAAGCTGAAGTGAAATTACTATCAGCTCTGATTCCATTATATCTACAACATTTATTTCCCCCTTTGTGACAAAAAAAAGGAAAAAAATCACTATTTTGACCCTAAAATAGCTGCAGAATAATACTGGAAAATTCAATGACAATATTTAGACGCTCTTGTAGCAGAAACTGACTGCAAAGAGTCAGTGCCAGTATTAACAGGGTGCCATTATTCCTCAAAAAGAATGATCACAAAGTAACACCCATAACTTTTCCAAATTAACATAAAATTGGATGGTTTAATTCTATAAATGTCTAGTGCACAAAAAGACAATTTAATTTTAAAAGTCACCATGATGGTAAAATGTACTATGGAGGTCTTATCATCTGAGCTAAAGTAGTAACAACTTACCTAAAATTAATGTAGGCCAATTTGCTATTCTTGCTTTTAATCCTTGATGAAATATTTCATGAAGAAACATTATAGTTTCGCTGAAAAACAAGTGTTAAAAAATTCATACCTTATTTCCCCATTAACAATTCACTGAAGAACACCCCTTCCTAATTATTAGAACATTTTGTACTTTGTGCATTGAGCTATTCTTTTATAACACTTGCATTAAAGAAGTCAACATTTCTATTTCCATATATTGTTTCAGTTTTTAATGACTAAAATACAACTTTTTTATTCAACTATAATTTGATGTAATAGTTTAAAAACTCACAGCAGATCATGTAACTAAGGATTCAGTTCTTTTAATAACGGTGCTTATTAAATAAGAAATTTAACACACAGCCACTATTTTCATGGGGGGCTCCTAGCAGAGGCTAAGAAATTGACCTTTCTCTCTTCTTACTCACATATTAGTTGACTTGCAATAATTTGGCTAAGAATTGCTTCACTTACTCCAAATTCTCATATTATTTAATAATAATAACATAGCAATTTCAGCATAGCAGTAAGATGCAGAAAGCCACACTCAACTTTATTCTAAGTTTTATTGTCTATACAGATGAAGCATACCTTATCACTTTTTTCTTAGATATGTGCTTTAAAACTGTTCTTCATCTTACTGGTTAGGGACAGACATTCAAAGAGACTGAGCCTGAACTGATTCAATCTTTCCGGATAAGTCTAACCTGGCTATGCTGAATCAGTTTGTAACTGCACAAACATCCCAGAAACACAGGCACATGCCTGCAGAAGCCACGGAGAGGTGGGGGGGGCACTACAGTAGTCCCCCCTTCCCTTCCACAGTGCTGAGCTGAGGGGGGCTATGGCCAGGCCCTGGCAGGATGCTCTGATTAGGGAGGGGTCTCCTGCCCCCTGTTCCGGCCAGCCCAGCAGGGAACTGATAACACAGTGTTTATCACCCCTAACTCAGTGTGTTCATCACCCCATTAAGAAAACAACAGAGGGACATTACCAGCTACCTGTTGATTCTGCCTTTGTCCCATCTGCCACAGCATGGACCATAGCCAGCATATGGTCTGCTAGCTAATGCTGAGAGGTGTTTGTGTAATGCAGAGGAGATGGAGCAATCCCTGTTTAGCAGGGCATGGAGAGGGGAGGGAGGGAGCATGGGGAAGCCAGGCAGATGCCTGCAGTCTCTGTGGATTCCAGCCAGGGAGCACAGGGAAGGGGCCAGCTCTGCTGTGGAGCAGAAAGCCCTGCCCAACCCAGAGAGCCTGATGGCATGCTGGGGGAGTCTGGTTTAACCTAAACCAGCAAGCGGTCTGGTACAGACATTGCATAAACCAGTTTGACCCAAATCAGTTAAGTCTGATACTACATTCAACCAGGTTTATCTCAAACTGGTTTCAGCCATTTTCAAATTGGTTTATGTGCACTGAACATCCGTTCTGTTACAGGTTTAAATCAGTTTCTGGTCACTTAAGCTGGTTTATGTGTAATGTCTGCCCCAGCCACAAAATCAATGACAATATAATGTTTTAGATCAGTGCTGTAATAGCATGATGGGGTCTTGAGGGGAAACTGTGAAAGGGTGAAACAGGCAAGAATGGGTTAATACTATTTGTCCCCTGATTAAGTTTGAAGAAGTAAGTCCTTTACCCAAAGGATTTAGGAGGTAGCATTCACTCAACTCAACTCCATTCCTGTTTCAGTTTCTGCCTACTTGTCCATATTTTATTGAACTTATTGCCAGTGGTGACGCATAAGGGGTGCACAGGGGTACACATGCAACCCCTGAGAGCACTGGTGCACCCACTGATAGCCAGTGTTTCTGGGTGGGGGGCAGGTGAGAGCACTGGTGACCCCCTGAGAGAACTGGCTAAGGAGTTAGGGCACCAGAAGAAGCGATCTTGGCGGTTCTCCCGCAACCGTTCGTGCCCACCTGAAAGTGCCAGTGGCACACCACTGCCACTTCTGAGTCAGCATGATTGGCCATGGTTGGCACAACTGTCCGCGGGAGGACTCCTCGCCGGTTGCTGACTGGCTGCTGGGGGGGGCAGTCAGCGACCCCTGACTCAGGAGGCACCAGTCGACCATGCTTATTGCCATACTATTAGTAAACAGGATGATAACACAACTCAAATACCATGACTGTTGCAAAAAAAAAAATTTCTTCCCTACAGAGATAAATAACCCTGGAGAGTCAGGCAAGAAACACAGAGTGTTCTCAGGCAAGATATGCCATCTTTAGAATCTATCACATGAACCCATTAAGACCTATATTGCTTTGTCAAGAACACTGGAAAAAGAGGGAAGGCAGTATCTGACAACTGAATCAGATGACTGGATTGCCTTTTCCTCTGTTAGCAGATCGAAAAACAGAATGTAAAATCACAAAGCTGACTAAGAGGTATAACCTGAAACTGTATGCCAGATCTTGTTTTGCTTTACATCCCAGGAAATATACTTCATTACAACATTAAAGGGATGGAAGCTTAATATAGCTTGTGGCAGAATGCCATCTCTGTCTCTCCCCAAACTCTGCTATCAGGTTGATGATCTACCTGACAATTTGGTTACCATGGTCACTGCAAACAGCAGAGGTAACCCTGAGTTGTAACCTGAGCTGGATCTGAGGGAGGGGGAAACCTGCTCCCTCTGCCTATGTGACTGGCCTCACACACCTCGGTGGGGGCTTAAGCTCCCTATTATTCTAAGCAATATCCCTGCCAGTCTACCTGGCAACCAGTGATGCATTTCAAATTGGTTGCTTGGCAGCCAACAGCTGCTGGCCTTCATTGGATCAGGTAAATGAGGTCATAAGGTCTATATAAGTTAAGGACTGCCCAGGAGGCAGTGCAGCAGCCATGGTGAGAACTCTCAGAGAAGCTGGATCATCTGAAACTCGCTCTCTCTCTTGAAACTCATGTTCAATGACCTGCTTGCCTCCAGAGGGAATCTCCACCTGCCTCTGGATGATACTTGTGAGTAAGCTACTTAAGATCTAACTAGATACATAGCTTGCAGTAACACAGATGTGTAATCAAAGGCTATCATGCCACTGTTTGCTCTAAGGGATTTCTCTGATATTGTTCTACCCTGTACCCTATTCCAGACGTACTCCTTGTAACCAATAAAGTTCTCCTCTGTACCTAGCATGGGAGACTTATTGGGAGAGGGTCTAGATAATGTTTTGGGGTCCCCTTGCTTTGGTTGACTAAGGGAGACCACCATTTGTGCTTCAAACTATGGGAAGTACCCCAAGTTCTTGCAGTGAGTCAAGTATCCTCAAGGACTACAAGGCCTGTGTTTCCCAGGGGGCCCAGGGCCAAAATCAGTTCAGACTCTGGGTGGTCGCAGCATTACCCCCAGGCTTGCGGGTGTGCTCCAGGAAGGGGGTCGGCCAGGTGTAAGGCACCTCCAATGATGCATTCGGAACCTGAAAGGTGGTCAGGCACAGTGAGGCGAGTAACTTAGTGCAGGCCTCCCACATAGCTCACTGCTTTGCTACTGTAAATTAGACTGCAATGGGGTGAAGTGGACAAAAATCAAATACCTGTTGAGAAAAATGCTACTAACATCATCGTGACTAATAGGTGGTTTCTTCGAACTTGCTGCCATTCTTAATGGCCTGAGAAAACAGTTCACAAGAACATAAAGTTGATGCACATATTCAGATTCAGCTTCGACCATGTTAAAAACTATCTGATTTCTCTTTCTCATGCTCTCTGCATGGGGAGAGCAAATATAATCTTGGACAATGGTCTTCCATTTTCTTCTGCACAACCAGCCTCGCATAAAGCTCTGAACCTAAAATGGACCAAAACAGAAAATAAAGACTGTATTGAAAAGCACTTACAGAAATGTATCAACAAATAAATTAAACTGGTTTTTAATGTCATGGCAAGAGCCCTTGGTATGACAGATGTCTTCATTTAAATAAATAAATGTATACACATATATACACACACACACACACACACACAAACAGAAGCTCTGCAAGCTCCCATGTTAACTGCCAAGGCCTAGCTTCCTTGTGAGTTGCCAAGGGTTGGCATTCTCTACTGCTTTATTACTCTACAATTGCTTTGCAAATTAATTCTGAAAAGATTTTCATTCATTAAGAAAAAAAACTAGTTATTTAGTAAAATATCAGAAAATAGATTGAAAAAGTATTACACACATACAATGGTATCTTTTAGCATATGCTCAAATGCTGTGTCCTTGTATATGTTCTTCCCATCAATACAACTGCCTTTTCCCCTTCTTTCAGTCCCATCCCACTTTCCCCCTCATTCTCCAACTTGTCATTCTTTTAACTTACATTATATTCTTCTTAGGAAAGGCAACCTAGGGCAGATTTTGATTCAGCTTCACTAGCATAAATCTGGAGTAATTCCAATAAAATAAGATGCTTTGTTTCATTTGCCTGTATAGCACCACATGTATTGTGTGTACATATAAATAGCTGGCAGCCACCCGCTGCCATAGATCTATGCTGACAGACTACTGCCCAAGAAGAAGGAAGCTTTTGCTATTCTTAAAAGGTATTTCTAGGACATGGCAAGTCTCTCCTGAAGTGCAGTATGCAGCCAAGTTAAAAGTGAATTAGAATTACCATATTTACTTGCATACTACATGCACCCTTTCCCCAAATACTGGGCATCCAAAATCAGGGTACATGTTTTAAGCAAGGAGGCTAATTTCCACTCCAGAATGGAGGCATGGGGATGCTGGAATAGCCGCCAGGGGTTGGCAGGGTGCTGGACTCCCTGCTGCATGCAGAAGGAACAGAGATTACTCCTCAGTAATCACTTACTATCTCATTGTAAGTGCCACAGCTAACTTTTAAACTTGTCAAATCCACTGCCAGAGTTGCTGCCAATATAACACAACTGAGAAGATGTGTACTTATTGAGTAACTGTATGGCTTTACAACAGAGAAGCATCAGTCTTCATATTCGAAGTTTCATTACAAATTCCTGTTCATTTAGCAAATTTTGGCAGTGCACCTTTGAGTGCCTGCCACTTTAAGGGCAGTCAGGTAGCTAGCAGGTGCCTGATGGTGGCAGCCATTTTGAGAACCAGGTATATAAAGCCTTCAGTTTGTTACTGCCAGCCCAAGTGGAAACACTGACTGGCTGAGCTGCAGTAGGAACACATGGAGGTAAGAGCAAGAGCTCATGGGGATGACTAGGAGGTTCTTGGTCCTGGGCATGACCTAAAACTGCACCCTGCTGGGGATGGGTGGCCTGGTGGGGCTCCTGGTGGCATGGGAGGTCCCAGGAAATGCCAGGCCAGTTACCACCCCAGTAAAAGGTGGGTTGGGGCACCTTTACCCATAGCCCCCACAATTTGGTGGGTATGAGGGCTAGGCATGTCTACCACCACCTAAGCCCTAGGGGGTGGAAGACCCCAGGAGAGGAGTGGGGCCAGGCACAGCTCTGGCCACCTAAGCCAGCAGGGGAGGAAGATCCTGGAGGCCCCTGGTTGGGGATAGCTGTGTAGCCCTGGAGAGAGAGGACAGTTATGAAGTCCCTGAGTGGGCAGGGATGTAGATGGCCCTACACAAAGTAGGGTTGAATGAGAGTAGGCCTGAAGGACTATGTGTGAGGGGGGCTGAGTAGGGCCGAACTGGGAGTAAACCTGAAGGGCAGTGCAAGGGCCAGCCCCATGAGTAGTTGAGTGTGAGGATGATGGGAAGACCCCAGGATGGGGAGTAGTGGGCATAGTAGGAACCCCATGTGTGGGGAGTAGGACAAGGTATGTTTTTGGATGCCTGAGGCCGTAGTTGGACTTGAGGCTGAATAGGGGGCGCTCAGCCAGGAAGCTAGGGGTGAAACCTGACTCTGGTAAGTCCTCCACTGAGAGGAGGCTGAGTGTGGGTCAAAAATTACAGCAAGGGAGAGCACAATAACCTGCTGCTCCAAGGAGGGAGTGAGAGCCCCTGTGAGACCCAGGAGCACCAGTCGTGGTGTGAGGGAACATTATGTATGTGCGTTTCATTTGCAAGGCTTGGGATGCAGTACAGGGGTGGTTGGAGCTGCATACATAGGCCCAGAAGAACAGGGCCGCCAAAGGGCAGCCTCCCACCTAATTAAAACACCAATTATTAAACAACAAGGTGTGGCAGGTAAGAGAGGCAGGCAGTTAGCCCAGAAACAGGTGGGTGGGGAAGGCCCCCTGTTACACAAATTAAGTCCAGATACACTGTTCCAGAATGCAACCTGGACCACTTCAACAAGAAGAGGCAAGTGAAAACCCTAAGCAGAAAGTAATAACACAAGAATTTCATGTTCTGGGGATGGGACATAAATAGACTGATTACTTTTTCAAGAACATAACTTCCAGAGATGCCATACCTGGCAGAACTAATCGAACACGCACATGCATCTACTGAGGCATCTCAAGCAAGGCTAAGGATGTCATCCTCCCTCTCTACAGGCTAGACATAAGGAAAAGCTTCTTCACAAGCCAAGTGCCAAGGGTAGTACAGTCACCCACCCTGGCAATCTTCACAAAGCATTTTGATGCCCATCTAGCTAGGGTCATCTGACCCCAGCAGTTTTTCCTGACCAAGTGCAGGGGGGGCTGGACCCAATGATCTGTAAGGTCCCTTCCAGCCCCTAACGCTGAAGCTATAAAACTATTTTGTGCGTGGGTATGCAAAATATGTATGCAACACACACAGGCACATTTTTAGAGCATGGTTATCTTTATCCATAATCAAGAGTAGTAAAGCCTGAGTATCTGCATGTTATATATTTAAATGAAAATTGGATTGGTACCCTGCTGAATGCCATTCATAGTATCCTGAAGCAACTGCTACCAAAAAGATCAAGTTAATAACTGGCATCAAACTGCTTTCTGGTCTTTCAAAAGTTGTATGCTGTGTGCAGAAATAAGATATGCACTGGGCTCTCCAAGCAGAGTATATCGCAGTCTACCTTTTTAATTTTTTTTATATCTGGATCTTCGTCTTCTTGGTTGCTTTGATATGGCCGCATTCGTTCCTTGGTTTTATTGAGAGCTACAATCTGAAAAAGGAACATTTTCTGTTTATGTGCATGTCAAGATTTTGAAATGCATTCCATTATAGCATCTAAAATAGGGCCCTTTTTTCTCTTCAGAGGCCCTTCTAGAAACTTTTTATGATTTCACAACATGATAAGCTTCCTTCTGGTCAAGGAGACCTGGACATACCCTTCTCTTAAAAATATTGCTCCTGATTCAGCCAGTATTAAGATGTGTTTATTTTCTACAACTTGCTAGCTCAGGATCATTTTGAAATTACAGTAACTACCCCCTTGTATGATCAATCACAGTAACTAGTCCATTATATAATCAAATATTGTCCTCTATGCGAAGTGCAGTTCTGGAATAACATATGATATTGAACCAAAAAGAATGTTTTGAGGACCCAACAATGTTTTGTTAAAAGAAACATCAAGGAATATGAGTAACAGAATCCAAAACATAAGATGACAAGTCTTTAAAAATTTTCTGCTGGTACAGCAGTCTAATAAACTATATAAGGGCTGTCCAACTTGCAGCTCACAGGGTGTTAATATTTGTCATCTGAGGGCTCCCACCCAACCACCAGTCCCCTCACTGCTCTGGCTGCTGCTGCTGCTACCAGTGTCTCCAGACTCCCCCTGTTCCCTTTGACTTCTGCCTTCTGGTTCTGCCTCTGGAGGGACTGGGGCCTTTAGGACCTAAGGAGCTAGGTACTTTAAAAAAGAAAACTTTGAACCTAGTGCTTTCA